TTTGGTTGTCCACAAGAAAATTCCTCTTCATCTTGTACCTGTAACACCCTTTCCATCCAGCGAAGGATAAGGGTGAAAATCGCTTGCTCCTTTTATGAATTAAAGGAATTAAATACCTTTTATTTATTTATATTTTTATTCAAGGACCGAGGTAATCTCAAATATAACTAACAAAATTGTGCTCAATCCGAAAATCCAATCAAACCTATCCTTTATAAATAGGGTCATGTTCTATGTGTTAATTCGAAATCTAAAATGATCCAGATTAAAATTATTCGAACCCAAATGAATTGAATCACGAGTAGATCGGGTCATTCGAAATGATTCGAATTATTTATTTTTTATTAGATTACTTATAAATTAATTTTAAATTTTAAATTTCTAATTTTTTTAATCCTAAAAGTAGAAATAAATAAAATACTCAAACCCTAATCTCTCATTAATTTCACTATCTTTCATCAATTTCACTTTCTCTCAACTTTTACTCTCCTTCACTCTCGCTCTCCCTTTCTTCATCTCAAACTTTCTAATCCTTTTCTTTGGTGACACTTGCGTAAAAAATTAGATTAGATGGCACATAGTGAGTTATAATATATGACATTGTAAAAAAGATTATTTAAAAAAAATAAAAAGTAAGAATACTTACTGAAAATCAAAACTCAGTGGTTAAAGTACCTTCATAACCATTAGAAATATAAGAACAAGAACATCAAGAACATCAAAATCTATTCTTAGTTGTTAATTTGTTCTTAATTAATAATTTGTTCCTAATTAATAAAAATCAATTCTCATCCAATTTCTTCTTGTATTTGGTTAGACATATTTTGGATTTAGCTTTTAAACTTTAATATTAAATAAAGCTATATTTTTTTTTGTATAATGTCTTTCTAAATATTGAATAGAGCTGTATTGAATAAGTACTAGATATTAATACATATACTGAATTTGTATTTTAAACTCTAATCCTTTATATCTTTTCTTTTAATGAAGATTAATACCTTTATGAAATTATGAAATTTAAATATTGTATAAGTATTATATATTTGATATATATTTTAGTTCTACCTATATATTCACTAATCTTTTCCTTTTCTTTTCTTGAGATTGGAAAAAAATTGAATTATAAAATGGAAATTAATGTTTAATAAGTTTTCTAACTAAATAATTAATTAGTGATAAAGTTTTTTTTAACTAAATAGTTAATTAATATTATATTTTATTAAAGAAAAATAGAGAGAAATATAAAAAAAATTTTAATTTTAATTTTAATTTT